AAGTGCAGCATATATTGCAGACTTCATATTATAGTTGCTCATTTAAGAAATGCTACATTTTGCCCCAAAGCATTCAGAAACACAAAACAACTGGATTTGGTTGATTGAGTAAATACAAATGCAGGCTGCCTTATGAAGAAAAGGGAGCAGCAAGCTACAATAACTTCCCAGTATAGTTTTGAATTGAGATCTCTGAAGTTATGTTTGTGCTGTGTGTTGATGTGCTAAATTTGCTAGCATATTTTAAAGACATAAAATTCCCACATTAAAAAGCTAATTCACTTTTTTCATTAAAATTTACTTGCTTTATGTCTAGCTCACATTGTGAACTAATAGCCAACATAATCTTCTCTTCATAAACTAGGGTGTTTTTCAGTTATATACACACAAAAGGCATTTGAAATCAAAACTGTCTATCCACATTCCATTTTTATACCTCTGAGGGCCAAGAAAGATTTTCCTTTACATTTGTTCTGGGAAAAAATCCTCCCCAGGCTAAAATCTTGTATGTCAAATATAATCGCAGAGTGAATTATAAACTGCTCATAATAAGTCTTTATATTAATGGAAGCATGGTTATAGTCTTTACTATAATATGGTATCTCTGGTTTCAATTATACTTTGCACAATGCAATATATCTTTAGGAGTATCTGCTGTAATTATTCAGGTAGTGGTGTAATGCAGAATAGAATAAGGAAAAAAACAGGCATTTGTCGTTTTACAGAGATGGAGAGGGATTTTATTAGTCATTTAGCGGGAGCAGCTCTTTCCTGGTGCCAGCAGATTAGTGTGTGCTGGTGTATGGAAATTGTTCTTCAGAATTCTATTTTTGTCCCTCAGCAGAGTTTAGAGTTGTTCTGGAATTACACAGAGAAGCTATACATGATTAGCAGAAAGTAAAATTGATTTAATACAAATTACTACTGCAAATATTTTTTCACAGAAGTTCACTTTGGTCCGGACATGAAGGCTGGGAGGTTTTTTCTACTTAAATGGATTTTATCAATTAAGATCAAAGAGCTGTAGAAATCAGAGATGGAAAAAATCTTGTCAGGTCATGTCTTCTGTCAATGTAAGAGCATTTTTTATAGAATATTTCTCCAATACATAGTCAAATTTCACTTTCAAGACTAGAGTAAAAGGCTTCCACTGTTTCCTTAGCATATTATTGCATAGTTACATAAACTTTCTTTATTCCCAGCATGGTCTCTCATTTTTTTCAGATTTTTCCCAGACCAGTTTTGTTTATGTGTTTATATCCTTCTAAGGTTTCTGAACAAGCTTCTGTGTTTGCTTCTTCCAGAGACAATGTTGTATCACTCTTTTATCCTTTCCTCTTAAAAGTATTTTTTGCTTCTCCCCTCTGAAATTTCCCCAGTTTACAGGCACAATTTGGCTTCTGCCAGTGTAGAGCACCAATGCAGAACTGTCACTGGTGTTTTTCAAAAAAGGCTATCACACTCTTTCCTGCTTAAGTTGAGATGTGACCTTTTTTTTGGAAGATTTATAATTGTGCATGGGTTGCAGTTCATTGCCTACCCACACCCCTCGTTTTTTTCAGAACTGTACGACTCCCTGCCACTGAATAACTGCAATGGTCTTCAGCTCTTTAGGTAGTCCCTTTATTACTTACCCTTGCACTTCTCCAGCAGCTGGGATTCTTCAGCTTGGAAAAGAGATGACTGAGGAGTGAATAGGGAATGATTATTCATATCTCCTATAATATAAAATACAGGAGCATCAAATGAAATGCCAAAGAGATAAACAACATAATTTCCTTTGTCGCATTATACTTATTTAAATTGTGGAATTCACTACTCTAGCACATTTTAGATGTCAAAACAAGCTCCTCCCAAGGAAATTCCTAAACTACTGAAGACCTAGGGAAGGTATTGTAGTAGAAATGTCACTTTATACGTGCCCTGAAACATCATAGCAGAACCTGGTCAAATACAAAATACTGTGCTCTACTAACATTAATACTCAAGTGGATCTCCAACCGATCCTTGAAAAAAACCCCAGCTTCCAGTGTAATTATTATTTTGGCTAAAATCTTTCTCAATTTTCCAGGTACATAAAGGGAACAGCTTTTTGAAAAGAAATATACTGGTATTACTGGTTCAGCAACTCATTTGATGCATGAAATTTTCACCCCTTACTTCACTCAGCTGCTGCCTTTTGTTAGTTTTAAGTGTAGAATGAGATGGTTGATTTCTGAAAGCATTTAAGTATGTGTGGAAAACCCCATTCATAAAAAATAAAAAATAAAAAATAAACTTCATATAAGAGAAGAAGTATATATGCAATTGCAAAGTAATTATCTTCATGGGTTAGGCTTTTTATGTATCATACAGAAACTAGGAGAACAATTGAATAAAATGTCAACTTCCGGTTGGGACTGAAGGGGCACTCGTATCCTTATAAGTTTCCCAATGACTTCATGCTTCCAAATATGTTGCCTCTCTCAAAAAATAACACTGCAGTCATTTCAAGATAATGATGTAGTAGTGAGGGGGACCTGATCGTTTACCTAGTGGTGTCAGTGACAATACTGCAAATAACTTTCAGTGTTGCAGGATCACATTCATAACCAGCATCCTTTGGTTTTCAGAAACCTGCATAATTTCACTGCTGCCATTTGGGTGTGTGGCAATTATATACTTTTTATGTCTTTGAAGAATAGACTGTGGCAGCACTTGTACTGTATTTTATAGTATGCAGCCATGGAAAAAAAAGTGAAGCACAAGCACAAAACAGATGTCCTTTGTGAGTTTAAAATAAATGTGTTTGTGATTAGATTCTTGTTGAGCCCAAGAAAAATCCTCACTGAGATAAACCTGTGGTATGACCTGTTTGGTCATAACCGGTGTGAACTAAAAACAAAATTGCAGTAGTTGCCTTTCTCTGACAATAGCACAGTTGAATATGTTGCAGTCTGTTAGATATGTCTTTGTGCCATGTGAACAGTGATAGAGTTTTCTGCTTGCAAAACCTAATAATCCAGCTATGCCAGGAATATTTTCACTGTGGTTAAACAGACTTGAGGCAAAATAAAAATGCTCCAATTTTACAAATCACAGTACCTAGCAATCTATAAATTTCTTCCTAGTTTTTGTTTTACTTAATATTCTCAGTCAGACGATTCAATGATATCTGGTTTATTACTGAACTCTAGCTTAAAAATAGCCTTTTCAAGCATTTTTCAAAGCGACTCCTGTAAATTTCACCTTGTTATTTGCTGTACATGTTTGTTCTTTTGTAACCACTAAACCTTTTCAGTTGTAGATGTGCTCTAATTGTATCTTAAGAATAGATCCTTCTTCATCAGAAATATGTAGATTTCATCAGGTGCTGATTTACAGTGCAGTGATGAAGGCCTATGTCAAAGGTACACTTGTACCGTGGCCCTCTTAATATGAATGAAAAGAAAGAATTTAGCTGCTTTAATAATTTGGGTATAATTTCCTCATTTTTTTCTTGCCTCCAAAACCTTTGTTGTTTCCATGTTTTCATGTTACTTAGTCAGGAAGAGTTGTTTAATTTGTTTTAAAGTATTCTCTTTAAAGTGTGTTAGGTTAAATCAAGCCTTGATGATTAAAGATAACTTCTCCAAAGCTTGTTATTTTTGGTTGGTTTAATTGTATTAGGTTGTTCTTTGATACTGCTTCCCAGCCCTTTAGGCATCAGAGTGTCGACAGTGTTACAGAGATACTCTTCGTATTATTGTGGATTGGAGCATTAAAATTTTACTACAAAACAAGACAACATGTAACCAAGTGGTACTGTCAGAGGCTTAGGGACAAGACATCTCCTGCTCTCTACAAATGAAAGATTTGTAAAATAATTTCTTTCAGTTTCGGGAAAACCAAACAGCTTACTAAAACCTGCAGGTATTTTAAAGCAAATAAAATCAAAGTCAGAGACATTATTCTTCTTGACTTGGTGACTTTGATTTGTATCTCACTGAAGAAATTAGATGCAATTTGAAAAGGTTTCTTTACCATGATTTAAGCCAGCTTACTTTATCACAAAAATTAGGGTTAAAATGTAGCAGTAAGCCTTCTTGGGTTTTTTGGGGTAGTCTCCTTCCTGAAGATGATTTGTTTCCAATCTCATGTTTTTTGCACTCTTTTCAGCTTTTGTAACCCAGCTTCTTCTTTATACATCTCTTTAATCTACCGCAAGACATTTAATTTCCAACCTTAGAAGGAAAAAAGATATTTTTATCCCTTATTTATAATATTTCTGCTTCTTTTTGATATAATTTGACTTTATAATTGGTTTTGTTTATAATCTAAAATATTCTGTGCTAAATTATTTGTGATATGTCTGAGCAATCATATTCTGTTGCATTTTATTCAAGTGATTACTTCACTAGTAAATCATTCTTGCTTTATATCAGATGCTTTGAATCAGATTTGTCATAACTTTAAAACAAAATCATTGCTTTCTCCATCCAGATTGTCATTGCAAACAAACAAGCTGAAGCTATGGCAAGTGTAGATGGCTTTGGCTTGATTTTGCTGTCATTTTTTCCATTAAAATCAATGGAGTTGTACCAATGTACTAAGCGTGATGAAGGAAAGGATCAATTTCTGTATACCTATAAAAATCTAAATCATAAATATGTATAGGTAGCTCTGTAAAAAGTATAAATATGATGATAATTTTCAAATATCACAAAAGTATAGAAATAGATATATTTATACACCAACAGGTTCAATTGCATGCAAATAACATGCACATCATGCATCCCGGTGAAATGCAGTCTGGTTTATTTCAGGGAAAATAAAATTACATTGGTCTAATAAATTATGCAAAGTCATGCATTAATCTTAAATTATCAAGATAAAATCTACATCCTCTTACAGAATACCTAATATATACCTGATAGGGAAACAGGAATGTTATTTAGACTCATTAATATGATTTGGTGAATAGTCCCCTTGTTAATACAACCTCTTTTTTCTTTTTTTTTTTTTTTTTTACTGCTTAATAGAGAAGAAAATCACGTTATTCGGACCTTGACTTTGAAGTAAGTTTACTGAATTATTCCTGATTATTAAAAGCATTTTCCTAAAAGTAAATGTGAAGTGTTCATTTTAGCAGATTTTAGCCTTCTGACATAGTGGATGTAATAGGGTTTTTCAATTAGTACTGTACAGAACATGATGAACAATTCATTAAAAATACTTTGGTGCAACTTGTTTGCAAAATGTTCTGAGATCAAACTGTCATATTGCAATATTAACCATCACGATTTCAGTTTTTAAATTCTTTGCCTCATTTTCATCTGGATTTGTTTTGTTGGATTTTTTTTCCGTTGCTGGCTATCTACCTATTGAAAAAGTGTAACACTTTTGTAGGACAGGATACATCAGGTAGCTTTGTTCAAAAGATTCTTGATAATTTGGTTTATCTCTCTTCAATACTAATTTACGGGCATACGAGTTTCACATCCAAGTAGGGATTATGAATGTGTCAAATTTTGAATGATAAAGTGCTGAAGATGTCAAAGCTAACAGATCACATGCTAAATAAAAACCAAGTTCATATAAGGTTCTTTAGGCTGGATATCCACAATTTCAGACTCTAGACCCTTTTGAGTGAAGAGGTTAAGTTGTGATAGTTATTGACTATTTTGTTCTACCTCAGTCAGTATGATTGGTCTCTTAGAGTTTTGTTTATTTGAGGGGTTTTTTCTCTGATCCCTACCGGAAGGAATGCAACAGTTCATTTTCAAGGGAATGTTCATAATTTATGGGTTTGGGATTTTTACATCGGTTGTCTGTTCATGCATAGAAGTAGTTTGATACAATTCATTATGTGTGTCTCCAGAGAAGCTGAACAAATGTATTCGCAAAGAACCTACAGATCTTGAGATAAATTTGAAAGACAGCAATCAGTATATATCAACCATAAATTCAAAAATTGCCCTGTTTGCATGTGCAAACAAAAGCAATTTTTATTATTTTTTGGGCTGTAAGCACACACACATACTGCCAGATTTCAAATTCTAGTTTGTAGAAAAGAAAGAGGCAGAACTAGCCATAGCAGTGGCCATAGGAGCCTTGCAAGGAAGAAGGGTTTGATTCGATGACCTGCTTTTGCTGAAATACTGATCCTCCATGTTTGATGATGGTTTCTTAGTAGTTTAACATCATGCCTTAATCTCTTGGGTCATTTTGCCCCAGAAACTATAGCTGCCTTAAGTCCTCATGTAATATTTCAAATAATGCACCAGAGAAAGATTCACACAGGAAATGTTAAGGAAAATAAAATAAAATAAAATAAAATTAAATAAATAAATAAAATTAAATTAAAATATTTCCTCAAATATGTTTTAGGATAAATGCATAGAAAGTAAGAAGAAACAGTAGCAAAATCCTGATGAGCAAAACAATTCTAAAATATGGTCAGAAGTTTTATAATTATAGTGATATAAAGAATTCTAAATTTGACGGTTCTTTATTGAAAAGTAGAAATATACTGTTCACAATCAGAGCATTCTCTGTGGACAGGTACTAAAACATTCTTCCTATCACTCGGGAACATAATCTGACACCATATCAATACCCACAATGCAGTATACATTCTCCTCTCAAGAATCAGGCCACCCATTATGTATTTTCTCTTGACTCACATAGTTTCACAGAATCACAGAATGGGTAAGGTAGGAAGGGACCACAGTAGGTCAACTGGTCCAACCACTCTGCTCAAGCAGGGTCATCCTAGAGCACATTGCACAGGATTGTGTCCTGACAATTCTTGAATATCTGCAGTGAAGGAGACTCCACAATCTCTCTGGGCAATCTTGTTCCAGTGCATGGTCATCTGCATAGTAAAGAAGTTCTTCCTCGTATTCAGGTGGGATTTCCTGTGCATCATTTTCTGCCAATTACCTCTTGTCCTGTTGCTCGGCACCACCAAGAAGAGCCTGGATCCATCCTCTTGACACCCCCCCTTCAGATACAAACGTACAATGATGATATCCTCTCAGATATTTCTTCTCAAGGTTGAACAGGTCCAGCTCCCTTAGCCTTTCCTTATAAGAGAGATGTTCAAGTCCCTTAATCATATTTGTTGTCCACCACTGGATCCATTCCAGGAGTTCCATGTCTCTCCTGTACTGAGGAGCCCAGAACTTGGCTCAGCACTCCAGATTTGCCTCACCAGGGCTTAGTAGAGGGGCAGGATCACTTTCCTCAACCTGATGGCAATGCTATTCCTAATGCACCCAGGAATACCATTGGCTTTCTTGGGCACAGGGGCACACTGCTGGATCATGGACAGCTTGTTGTCCACCAAGAGGACCCTGAGGTCCTTCTCCACAGAGCTGCTTTCCAGCAGATTGGCCCAGCCTGTGCTGGAGCCCAGCGTTATTCTTCATTGGGTACAGGACACTGCACTTGCCTTTGTTGAATTTCAGACGGTTCTTCTCTGCCCATCTCTCCAACTTGTTGAGATCCTTCTGAAGGGCTGCACAGCACTCTGGGCTATCAGCAACTCCTCCCAGCTTTGTGTTGTTGTGTATTTAAGATGCTTTACACCTTTGTCTTGACTTGTTGCAATATTGTTGCTTCATGGTCTAATATTTTTAGAATTACTATTAAAATGCAGGAAAATATATTTATTTGTAAAAAGGAAAGGATGAGGCCATTGGGGGTGACTTCTGAGGACGTGAGAGTGGTAACAATACTGTGCCAGTTGCTACTGTGTTTTAGAAGTATGGACTCAGACTAATCCCATCTCACCTCCCTGTTTTATGATTCCTCTGATTATATCTGTAGGCTTTCCTGTATCCTTGCACTTTGCATGTCCATCTCTCTAAGGTAAAACCAAATTAAAAAGCTATAAAATGTTTAAATGGCCACCCTGATTCCTTCAGTCAGTAAGACATCCTGATGAAGGGAATTGAGATAGTATGGTGTGTCCAAAATGCTGCTATTTGGATACCTCAAAGCAGCTTGACCACAAAATAGAATAGAGTCTGGAGGTGAGATCAAGCCAGAGTGATTGGATATACTACTTAAATGTTTATCACTTTCTCTGCTCTGTCTCTGAGCAGTCCCAGCTGGCAGTCTCTGAGACAATGCCCTTCCACAGTTCTCAGGAAAACAAATGATAGAATGACATGGATGTGGTTCTGAGGATAAGAGATGCTAAGTATGCAGTATGGACAAGTTTGGCTCCCTATGTTCTTTTCCTTTTAACACTCTCCCAGCAATGTCTAAACCCTCAATTTCTCACACATGTCTACAGCCATATAAGACAAACACTCAGGCTGTGCCCAGCTTACTAAATTAGGTATTTGAGGGAATATTCCTGGGTGACAAATTTCCAGATTCTATATGGATTAATTTTAGAATGACATTCACTATTTTAGTCTGGATGACCTTTGCCTCTCCAAAAAGTTTTTGAGGGTCATTAGGGAACCAGCACCGTCTGGGAGCCATTTACAATAGACAATTTGACTGTAGATTTCTTATTTGGGAGACTAAGAGAATTTAGAATAATTTAGTATTCACTGGGAACATTCCATGTTAGATGGTGCCAGAGAATAGTCTTGGATATGTTTGACTTAATACTGCAGAGTCATAGTTTCATAGTTTAAAAAAAAAAAAAAAAAAAAAAAAAAAAAAAAAAAAAAAAAAAAAAAAAA